TGTGTGTGTGTGTGTGTGTGTGTGTGTGTGTGTGTGTGTGTGTGTGTATGTATGTGTGTATGTAACCGTTAGGCGGACATCCGTGTACGTGAAAGTGATTCTTTGAGTTCTCGACGGGAGACCCGACGGAAAGACAGCCGCGACGGGATACGTGCACGCGGCTTAACCAGAGAAAAGGCTACTCAGATTGGACAGCTAAGCCGGAAAACCCGGGGCGAGATTTTGTTCCGTCGCTGAAAGCGAACGGTAACTACATACGTGTATAGGACAACGGTGGATACCTCTTTCAGAACGGCCCGCTCAGCGTGAAGATTTCATTTCGTTCGAAAGTACGCCGAGATCTTTACTGCTTTCACGCTGGGAAGCGTCGTTTAGTCGATATCTGGCATTATTAATAGGACCAGTGGGGGTAGGGGACGAGTCTACACTTTTCTATCAGCTATGAAATATCATACAAGTCTTAATTTAAACGCGATTGCAATAGATAAAATAAATATTTCCTAACAAAACACCATAAATATAAACAAATATTACTAAATTCAATCACACGTCCGACCAAAGGGAGCATCTACTAAAAGTCTCCGTGAACCTTTTTGGAAAATTCTTGGCAGTGTAACGCAGCGCGCAATGTCGGAGCAATAAATTGCGTATACAAAACGATCGCGTTGATTTTAATCAAATAGCAACGCGGCGGCAACAGAAACGACAGCGAGTTCTACCAGCTTTTCCAGAAGTTAAGCTATTTGGGTTTCCAATTTCCTGCGCTCTTTGAGCTCAAAAACACGCTTCCCGGCGGTCGCGTCCAACTTTTCAATTTATGGCGCTGTTGTAGGGAGGAAAGGGATCGGGGGAGGACAGGATTATTTTCAGGCACGTCTTCGGCTCGTTAATTCATAAACGCTACCGCGTCGAGGTCTGCTTAACGGAACAACAAATCCCCCTCGGCCAATCGTTTAGCGTACGATTAATGAATTATGGAAACGAAACCGTGAAACAATGAACGATTATCCCTGGCAGTATTGAATAAATTACATCCACGACCAGAGGGTTTTTCTATGGCGACCGGATTTCGTACGTTTTAAACGGGTCATCTCTGTAATTAACTACGTATTCCAGTCGTCGAACGAGTTTCTCCACTCTTGTCTTAGAGGGAAGTATAGGAAAGTCAACGATCGACGGAATTAAAATTAACGGGGTAGTCTAGAACTTTCGAAATATCGATCTTCTTTTGCATCTTCTCAAAGTGATGGAAATATTCATTTCCAATACGGAATTTCCATTCGAAATAAAAAAATAATAATATTCCAGCCAATGTTCTCCTCAAGGGCTGTAGCTATGTTTGATTGAACAATATAGCTACAGTACGGGCTTAGCGATCCCGAGGTACCCGAGCTATGGGGGAAAGAGGTCACTGAGCCCCAACAAACACGTAAAAGTATGTAACGTAAGAAGTTACGGATTAACGAAAAAAATGTAAAAGTAATATGAAAAAAAAAGACTGAATCAATAAGTGCAATAATCGATATAAAACAGATTACCTACCCTTATAAAATATAGGAACAAACAAATTCACCCCCAACGTTATCATAAATATTAAAGTTCACCTGTGTCCTCTAATATTCCACTTCGGCAACATTTGTCAGGCCCTCAAGAACCACCAGAAGAATATTTTCCTCGGCCGAAGGAATTACTGTAATGAAAATTTGGCGAAGGGTGGAAACGATAAGACAAACGAAGCACGCTTTGAGCACTCGACACTTCGACGGGCGAACTTTTCGCGTCGCGAGACTTTGCAGATTCATAAATCGGCCGGCAGTTCCGCCGGTAGTCACGGGTTATTAAGCTGTAAACGAAAAATTAGCTCCCGACTGGAATTCTTAATTAATGACCACGTCAAACCCTCGCTTGAAGGACCGTCGGTACGTTGCCGGGGCTAAAGTGTCGTGTAAAAGTTCTCCAGCGAAACTTCGCAGTTTTCCTCCCTCCCCTTGTGTTAGGAAAATATACTGCCAACGAAGTTCATTTACGCGATACTTTATCGGAGCTCTACGGCCAACTTGCCGTGAAACTTAAATTCATTTACGTGACCATCGAGGACCACTATCGGTTTCCGTCGAGTGTGCTTTCGGTGTGCGCTTGTTGTGGTGGTACACTTTCAGTCGCGAATGACGGAGGAAGAAAGAGTATTTTATAATATACAACATATTTCAGTTGATAAGGTACTTAAAGATGAAATCAGAATATCGTTTACATTGGGTACCTTGATTTTCGTAGGATTATTAAAATATTGATATGGTGGATTGGGTAGTTGGAAAATAGGTGGAAGTAGTATAGGGACCGTGTGTGACCAGACAACGCGTGGCCAGATAGATAGTATACAGTTCGCATCTGACATCAGGACACAGTATACGACCATATGTCTTAAGAGAAGTGGTGTAGAATTATATATGGACGAGCCAAGGGGTAGTACAGGGATGAATGCAATCGAACGAGGGGAATAGAGATGTATACAGTCAGACAAGGAGAACACAAGTGAATGTATACAGATGATACAAATGGTTACAGTAGCCAGTCAGGCAGTAAGGCTAGACATTCTGCATAATCAGTCGTGGAAATTCAGAATCGATAGCTAGTCATACAAGGAGAATAGATATGTATATAATCGGACAAGTAGAATAGAAATTATTGTAAACAGATTATACGAATAATTGCAGTAGCCAGGCAGACAGTAAGGATAGATATTTTAAATATTCACACATGAAAAATAGTGTCAGTACCTAGTCGAACAAGGAGAATAGGCATGCATGTAGTCAGACAATGGGAACAGGTGTAATTTCTAACTGGACAGAGAGGATAGACGTTCCTACGTAGTTAGATATGGAAAATAGAAACAGTACTTAGACAGGACAGGCAGAATAGGCGTGTACGTGGTCGGATAAGGAGAATTCGTGGAAAGCTGCCAGGGGCATAATTCGGTGATGCCCGCGGCAAACAGCGGAGCTCGTTATATCTTTCCGATCGATCGACTTCGAGCGCGTCGTCCTCGATTTTAGGCGAGGCGCGTTTACCGAAGGGAAACTTCGAATTCAATTCGTTCTTTCGAGAGATTGCGCGAACCTGGGCGTGATGGGATTCATGGGGATCGAGGAAGCTCTGATTAGTTGCACAAAACAAATCGAAGACTATAATATTGTTTTCTTGGGAAAAGATTCAATGATAGAGTTCACTTTTTGTGGAATAAAGTAGACTTTAACAAAAATAATCGAAACTCCGGCTCGAATAAATATATTGTCTTTAAAAATAGTACACAGCGATCGATCTGATATTCTAGCACATAAATTTAACGAAACGTGTATTCTAAAACCTGTGTACATTTCAATTTGGTATCGCGAACACGCGAAACAATTCATCTCGATTTTGCCATGATATACAATTCTCGATACGACTGCAACACGCGAACGTTCAAGGCGTGATATGGTTACCTAAATTCGATGAAACCGTGATGCAGTATCAAGGCCATGAAGTCACCCTGAAGATCGTCCCTCTCCCCAGCGAGGAGCAGAATTCCGTCCCACGCCTCGGGCCGGAATTCCAATTCTAATTGGACGTGCTTGTAAGCGGCCTTTAAAGCGGGAAACGCCAGCCAGCCGGAGCCCGTGAAACGGGGCGATCTCACCTCAGCCTCTGCAAGCAAAAATTACCATCGTTAAGGGAGGGGGGGAGGGGGGGGGGGCTCATGATTATTGCTATTGTACATCGGGGCGTGACGGTTAGCGCCGCTGTAACGCCCCTGATAAATTGTACAATTCGCAGAGGATTACACGCTCTATCTTGGCGAGGTGTTTCGCGATTTTATCGATCCACGCGGTTCAGCAATTTAACAACAATTCAATTTGCTTTCGCTAGGTATCTTTGTCGCGTCGATGTTGCTTTTGAGGGGATATTTACTTTAACACGTTGACTGCCACGCAAGTATTCTTTAAAGTTTCTACTAAAATGAAATATTATTTAAACTATCGGAGACTGCATAATCAAACATTTATCGTCGTATTTAGTCTTGTAATTTCATCAAAATTCACGAATTTGGTTTAAATTCGTTTCCTTTGATGCTTGACATTCGGAATTAATTTCGTTAGTTCTTTAGTGGAAAGCACCGTCACCCACATGTGGGTGACATGGCGATCAACGTGTTGAAGTGAAAGAAACTATATATCTTATCATCTAAAGAGTGTAACATTTTTTATTGTTCACATTTCATTTACATTTACATTTATGCACATTTTCGTGGATTCACTCGCGTCATCGCTTGCCATAAATGTTTAAGCATCCGCAGTCTAGTTTAACCCTTTCACTCCAGAATTATTTTTTGTCTCGTACTTTTTAATCGTATCAGGGTAGGTTTTTTTCAGAGAAAAGTGACTTCGTTTCCCGTTCGGTGCCTTCACCGAGGAAACGAAGAAATATGGTTAAAGTCAAGGGTGGAGCGGAGAAGGAGAGGGACAGACAGGAAGCTGGGAATCGAGGATGCCAGGAACGTGCGAGGCTTAAGGAACATCACTTACCTTTGGCGATGTAGAGCCGACTATCAGTCAGGGAAACGGTACACGGGAGAAGAAGGGCCCTGCTCGTAGTACACGCGAGCATAAGGGCGGCGATATATCAGACTGAGGAAAGGAACGAGACTTGCGCCTGGGAACGGAGCAACACCTACTGATCGACGTGACTGGTCGAATAATAAAGCGACCGACCACTGATCGTATGGCCAATGCTTTATTCGAATCACTGGTGATGCATAAAAGCAGTCAGATAATCTTCAATCTTCTGGTTTTTGACGAATCAATTTTTATTAATCGAAGCGAGGATAATTCCTTGTTTAGTAATCGTGGATACAGAAATTTCATTTGTAGGAGGCCATTTAAAATCAGAAGCTAGGTTAAATTGCCCGAGTACTTCCACGCCCCTCCACTTCCAAGATTCTTCGCCTCGAATTATCCACCCAGATTAAAATTCCTCAACCAATATCACCCTAAAAATTGCTCCAAGAACCCACTTTTAACACTTACACAAAACATTCCTGTACCACCAAAAAAAAAAAAAAAAATTCCCAAACACCAGTACAATTTTAACCCCTACGTGTGCCCACTTTAAATAAACGTGCAAGCTGCCGTGGCGTGAAAAGGAGGGGTACTTGGCATGATTCATACTCTGGGGAAGCGACCTTGACCAAAATTCCCTGCTCCAGCCACAGAATACCCTTCGCACGGCTCGGATTCGAGCAAAGTATAGCCAAACGTTTCAGGACCATCGTGTATGCGCAACGCGGCGCGTAACGAACCGGAAAATCGTGTTGTTTGTATTACCAGGAGGGAGAGAGGGAGCAAAAAATCAGCGGCATCATTTCCCAGGAACAGGCATTGGGGTTCTTCTTCCGCCGTTTTGTCGGTCAGCCTTCATTACCGCGATGAATCCAGGTCGGGATTCGTGGCTTACATTTTTAATCGTCTCTGCGTCGATCGCAGGCGACGTGACGGTATAATAAATGAAATCGTTAGTACTAATTTGGTGAGTGGAATTAATTAGCTCTTGAAACAGTAGCCGATCGTGGCGATAAAAATAAAATCAAATCGGTTCATTAGTGGGGCTGAGTGTAGATAGTCAGTTGGAAACAAATGCTTCTTTGGAAATTAATTTTAAGGAAAGGAGTGACAGTCTTGACTTTTCCTTTTAGGTAGTGTTTGTGTGTACCTTAGAAGTTCGAAAAATATTTTTTTTTAAGGTAGCGTACCGAGTTCAGGGTGGAACAGAATTGGAGACAATGATTCTTTGACGTCTCAACCCCTGGCGCAGGCCCTCGAGAGGCGAATAAACAGGAATAGAGTTACGTTGGGTGTCCACTCGACAGATTTTCCCTCGAGAGCTGCTATCGAGAATAAGAGGTCTTTTGCACGAGTAAACGAAACAGCCTCCATGTGCTGTAAGTTGCCTCGACGCTACTGAAATCTGTCTCCACTGGACAGTCCTAGTCTTGCACTATTCTTGGGATTACTTTTAGTACTCATACTGTGTGGATTAATAAGTATAAATAATATTTATCAAGGTTTAAGGTAATTCTCTCAAGAAACGTTCTTCCTTCAGAAATCAGACCACTCAAGCCCTCGACGTTTATTAAAATAAAACGAACAGTAAATTATCATTCACTCTCAAAATATCCCTAAAACGAAGGAACGCAGTGCCCACGAAACTCGGGATATGCGAGAGCTCCGAGTACACGAACCAGTGTTCTGTTGTCTACACCTGATCAACCGCTATCGTACCAAATGCAACGGTATATTAATCCGAAATAGCGAGGTACAACGGAGGTCCAATCGAGCGAAAAGGGATCGACGTCCGCGACCCCGACGCCTGGGCGTGTCGTGTGCAGGCACGAATGCGTCCGTCGGCCGTCACGTATAACCGCAATGCACTTCCGATCGTGCTGTTGCATTTTTATCGCCCGCGACGGAATGGATACGACTTGCTCGTGGCTCGTCACACGCGAATTTATCCGTGGAATTAGCGCGACGCGACAGAATACACAGTTGGTTCCATCGTTTATCCAAATTAGCACGAAATGGTAGCAATCTCCTTTACGTTGTCTCAAGCTCAGGAGAGACATGTGATAATTTGAGAGGGAAGTAGTGTTCTCGTCAAGAATTATGAGATTTATATGATAGAATTTATGGTAAAGTGTTTTTAGGACAGGTCTAGCTAATAAAATGCAATGTCCTCCTTTACTTTTTGAAAACCCTCAAAGCAGTGGACCTTCTCCAAATTAATGATCGACCATACTTCGGTAAACCTTCCCCTAAATTATGACAAATGCCACAGCTATCTCAAAGGAACCCGTATCAAATGGACTCGACATTCACCGGTGATAAAGCGTTTTTCACCAATTCCCTTCGCCATGAAAGGGTTAAGGAGGTAAAAAGGGGGTCGAGAAGAAAGCACAGTTATTAGCATATTCGTGTCGTAGGACGTCGCGACAGGGCGTAAGCAGTAGAATCTCCGCTGCAGACGCCCGGAGGCCTTTTGAAGCTTCTCAATTTGCATAAAGGCACGCCCCGAATGGTAAAACGATCAATCAAGTCACCGCGCGGAACAAGCATCGTCCTTTCAGTGCTGGCAGCGACGATCGTTCACCAAAATCTCGCGAAAGCTCCTCAGTCTGGTTCTGATCGACTGCAACCTGCGTCATACTCGGTTCGAGTATGCCTCGCTGAATCTTAAATTGACCGCGCTTTCGCGACTAGAATCATATTAGTCGGTTAAAGCTTCTGCTTTTGTGCGCTTTGCCATAGACCAGCGGTGCGCAACCTTATTCGTTAGAGAACTAATTTCTTCACGAGTCGAGACAATTGACGCTTTAAATATTTAGAGCGTCTATTCGTTAACAGCTCACGAACTTTTAAAGTAGAATCCGTATTTTTCTAAACAGTTGTTCAAGGAGAGGTTTTGGAGTGATCCAGATGGTCATATAAACGACTCCTTGGCAACGTTTATCCTCCGAATGTTAAAAGCTCGCGAGTGTTTAACGAATATAAAAAAATAATTAGGGAAGAGTCATTGTTTCCTCTATAGACTATTATATTTTGTTCGTGACGTTTGTTTTCCAACGTGACAATCTGCGAATGTGAGATACTTTATAAATTATCCCCTCAGAGCTTCGGATTTTCTTTTGACTTTATTTCACAATTCTGGTAAACTCGACGGAAACGCCGAATTGGCTCGCGGGTTGCACCTTGTGCACCACTGCCCTATAACAACGGGTCGCGCGTGTCGGCCACTTTGCATGCAAATAGAAGCCTGTAGGTTCGCCCGTTGCCAACGCGGACCGAATTCTTCCTTTTTCGCCTCTAACGGGGGATAACGCAGAAATTAAGACGCGAATTTCAGAGTTTCAGCTCGTTTCGCCACTACGAACTCGTTAACGAACAACGCGACGCGAGTGTCGGCGCATAAAACTATAAGACGGAGCACGCCTGAGTTGGGCGAGCTTTACTACGTATAAGGAATAAAAATCTCAGATTTACTCGTGGGAGCAAAAACAAACGGATCCATCAGCTGATGTTCTCACGCAAACTTCTGCGTCAGGGTGAGCAGCTGAAGGATTCATCGTTTTTATAGAACTAGAATTTTTATCCGTTAGCCTGATTTAAATCAGTAGGGACAATATTTGTAATTTCTCGTAGAGAATAAAATTATGACCAAATTTCCCGAATATTCCCGTGGCACCCTTTGTATCAAAGGCTTATCGAATAGCTGCTATCAAACTTTCGGAATGGATTCGGCGAGCCAGAATGCCATGGGGATTTCGCTGCATGGAAACTTGTCCATTGCGACACTCTTCCGTTTGGCGTGGCTTGCAAATCTTCAGGCGCGATAAATCGCGCCTCCGCGGTCCTGAACAGCTGAAGTGGTTAATTGAGGCCTCGGAGAGGAAACTGGTTCTGGCGGCCAGCCAAAATGACTGATCATACACATAGTACAGAAAGACGGAGGTTGGTGATCCCGTCCCCGCGATGATTTATATCGTACGATCATATCTGAATTATTCGAAAAATAGTTTGCTAAATGGAATGTCCTTTTATATTGCTCGAATATTGTCGAATATTTTCAGGGTTAGTAGTTGACGCATGGATTCAAAA